CACAACTTCGTCCCTTTGCAATCATTTGGAAATGGATGATGAAGAGGAACACTTTGCTGAGAAAGTAATGCTACTGAAAAATAGCTTTTGTATTATATTCAAGTCATTCTTTGACAGCCTTACTAAGAGGCAAAAAAATGATTTAAGCAGAGGCATATTGACATGGAGGGAAGAAGAAGCTGACCAGCATGTATGCAGATGTGCTGAGATTTTCCGTAGAGACAGTCGCTCCACTGTATTTTCATGATATCGTTTGCAACGAGTTGAACTTAGGTTTAGGTCATAGAAGGGCCAGTAAAATCTACAATGAAAAAATGGAACAGAATTTAAAAGGCTCCTTCAGCGAGGCTTTCTGGGAAGTGGTTGGTGCTGACGCATCGATCAGAGTTACTCCCACATTTGCAGAGGCTTTCCTCAATATGTTCACCAATGACGATGACTCCATTATCTTAAAGGCTATGAAAGATTAAAACAACCCTTTGTTGTCCATTCTGGTACCTGTGCCAAGTGCCCAAACTGCAGAGCATGCAGAGGGGTGTTCAAAGGTGTCATAAGGACATTGAAAGATGTTCTCAAAAGCCTTTGCAAACAAATTGACACTTCAAGGAGCCACAGAAATGCAGATATCAAAAGTGAAGTCCCAGAGAAGAAGTCAGTCAAGTGGCGGAGCAATGAAAAGATCGACACAGAGCAGGGGATAATTAATATGGACACAACTCCGTCCCTTTGCAATCATTTGGAAATGGATGATGAAGAGGAACACTTTGCTGAGAAAGTAATGCTACTGAAAAATAGCTTTTGTATTATATTCAAGTCATTCTTTGACAGCCTTACTAAGAGGCAAAAAAATGATTTAAGCAGAGGCATATTGGACATGGACGGGAAAAGAAGCTGACCAGCATGTATGCAGATGTGCTGAGATTTTCCGTAGAGACAGTCGCTCCACTGTATTTTCATGATATAGTTTGCAACGAGTTGAACTTAGGTTTAGGTCATAGAAGGGCCAGTAAAATCTACAATGAAAAAATGGAACAGAATTTAAAAGGCTCCTTCAGCGAGGCTTTCTGGGAAGTGGTTGGTGCTGACGCATCGATCAGAGTTACTCCCACATTTGCAGAGGCTTTCCTCAATATGTTCACCAATGGCGATGACTCCATTATCTTAAAGGCTATGAAAGATTTAAAACAACCCTTTGTTGTCCATGCTGGTACCTGTGCCAAGTGCCCAAACTGCAGAGCATGCAGAGGGGTGTTCAAAGGTGTCATAAGGACATTGAAAGATGTTCTCAAAAGCCTTTGCAAACAAATTGACACTTCAAGGAGCCACAGAAATGCAGATATCAAAAGTGAAGTCCCAGAGAAGAAGTCAGTCAAGTGGCGGAGCAATGAAAAGATCGACACAAAGCAGGGGATAATTAATATGGACACAACTCCGTCCCTTGCAATCATTTGGAAATGGATGAACTTTATGAGTTTGCTAATACAGAGGAAAACTTTGTTGAGCAAGAAGCAGAGAAGAAGTCAAAGTGGTGGAGCATTTCTTCAAACAGAAAAAGAATAATGTGCAGCCAACTTCTGACGAACAAGTCAGAGTCAAGTCAAATAGGTGGAGCTGGTTTAAGAAACTGAGGATGAATAAAGTGCAGCAAGTTGGAGTCAAGTCAAATAAGGGCAAGAAGGAGGAGAAAAATACTCCATGGCGATTCCTCTGTTGCTGTGACTGCGAAGTCTTGGAATAGCCCCCCTCTATACCTCACCAACCGTTCATTTTCTCCCCTTTTATCTCCCCCTTTAGCTCCACCCCCTCCCCAAACCTTTCACTTTATCACCTTATTCCCTCAGTTCTATAAAAACTGAAGCTGATAAAGTTGATTGTTGAAATTATAAATAGTGCACAACAACTGCACAACTTATTGAAAAGTAATTAATATTAGACCCTAGCTTTCCCTTTTCTACCTTTTAATCCTTGTCTCTCTTATTTAGGTTTACTCCGGGTGCTCCGGTTCCCCTAACACGAATTCTTAATTCGACTATAAAAAAAAATCCAATTTGAAAAAGAATAAATAAAGTAATTGACTTGAACCAGAAAATGACATGGAAAAAGTGATTATTTGCAAGTTATCTTAGGTTGACTGTTTTTTTCAGAGTTGATCTATGCCACCCACCATTCTGATGTAGGCTACTACACAATGTCTTCTGTTTCTGTCAAAAGAAATCAAAACATTTTAACCCTAACAATATACTGTCTCCCAATTTGGTGTCTTACTACAATTTAACTTTTGTAATGGAACTTTTAATCTTTTCCTGTATATTATATTAATTGAAATGTCTTTGTTGCCATTTAACAGGGGATCCAGCCAGAGTCAGTGGATGAGATGGTGGTTCGGAAACCAAAATTGAAGTTGGTGTCAAATCAGGTGTAAAATCCACCTTGTATGCAGCATATTCAGGTGAGTCAACCATATGAATGTTATTCTAAACATCTAGGATAGGATAGGATAGGATAATACTTTATTGATCCCCAGAGGGGAAATTCGGGCGTTACAGCAGCACAGACAAGAAAGCTCAAATACACATTAAACAGAATAGATGAGATAAATAAAAATAAAAATAAAAAATAAAAACAGGGGGTATATACAGTACAAAAATGAATGTTGAAGTTAACTGGGGGGAATTGAGAATTGAAACAGTATTTGAAGAGAATGACAAGATAAAGTGACAAGTGATGATTAAAGTGACTTGGTATGATAAATAAATGGTATAATATAGTGCAATATGAACAATATAGTGTAATATAATGAAATGTTATATAATATAGACTAGTATAATAATAAATATATAGAATGTACAGTATATATGTATATATATCTATGTATATACGCACACACCTTGAGGATCCTGGGACTGATGTTGTCTGGTCCACTGGCTTTTCTGATGTGGAGTCTGGAGAGTTCTCTTTGTACCTGGCTGGTAGTAAGAGTGAGAGTGGGACAGTGAGCGGGGTGAGGGTGAGGGTGGGCTGTCCTTTGAAGCTGCTGATGAGGAGCTGAGAGAGGGGGGAGGTGGTCAGGACCTTGATGGGAGGAAGAGGAAGAGCAGAGTCTCCAGCAGAGGTGTGCAAACAATTGCAGTTGGCAGTTCTATTAAAAACACACAAAATATAACTGATGAATCCTCATATAATCTTGTGTGGTGGGGCCCTTCCTGACCCGGGTGTGATGTCTGTTGGAGAGAAATTGAAAGACATTTAGCCACAGCTGGGGATCTGTAAGATTCTTCATGGACTTGAGGAACTCACCATGGTGGAGTCCAAATTTGGTCTTGTGCCCTTCGGATCAGTTCTATCATACCAGTGCCCCTTAGAGGCTACTAGGGAAATAATGAAACATCCAAATGCCCCAGAATTCCCTCTGCTGCCTGTTGAAGGCTACAGGTTTCTAGCTGACTTTGAGTTTACTGCTGACTATGAGCAGCATTACCACCTTGAGAGCCTAAAGGTGTCTCACGAACTCTCTGCTGCCATAGAAGCTGAGACCAGGCAACAGTCTGTCAGCCCGCTGTGGGTCTCAGTACGAAAGCCAAGAGTGACTGCCAGCAGGTTCAGGGAGGCATGTCATGTACGTGGTGAGTTCTCAGCAAAAGCCCTGGCAGCGCATATTCTTAAAGGAGCGCCACAGACCCTGGCAATGAAAAGGGGTCTGAAGCAGGAGCCTGACATAATAAAACAGTTTTCTGATTTGTTTAATTTGTCTTCATTGTGCACCCTGATGCACCTCACCTTGGTGTCAGCCCAGATGGCAAAGTTTTTGACCCGACTGAAACTCCACCATTTGGACTGGTGGAAGTGAAATGCTGCAGTACCGATTCTGTTGCTGAGGTTAAGCACCTAACACCAGTCAGAGGTCAGGCCACACTTAAAAAGGGTCATAAATATTACTGGCAGGTTCAGGGCCAACTTGCCATCAGCGGACTGGAGTGGTGTGACTTTGTAACTGACACGCACACACACAGATCTCACAGTTCAGAGGGTCTGGAGGGATGAAGACACCATTCGTTCAATGAGGCAGCAGCTTGACATGTTCTATTACAACATCTATATGGATGTGTTTCTCAAGTCCAAACATTGAGTACTGTATGTGCTATCAATGCAGTTTATGAATTGTTGAGTGAAAAATCATAACCTTGTAAATAAGACTGTTTAATTAATGTTAAATGAAATGTTTACATGTGCCTTTTAATGAATTAAAACTAAAATGTATTTGTGTAACTGACTACAGTTCTGTTTTTTATGCTGCACTAAATAGTTATTCTACTTGACATGCTGTGATCCCATTTTAGATAAAAATGAGGAATATGTGATGTGAGGGTCTGTGTTTACTTCTCTTTTTATTCAAATGTTAATCTCTTGACTTTGTAATGTAAATAAGTAACATATCATACACAAAATAATGAACATCACATATATACAATTCATGTGTTAATCTCTTGATTTGTAATGTAAATAACATATAAACAAAATAATATACATTACAGATATACAATTCATGTATACATTACATTTGATTAATTGTCATTAATAACTGGGGAATGTGCTAAATCCAACCAGCTAGACAGGCTTGTCACCTTTGATGTCCAGGGGGCCTTGGTAGTTCGTCAACAGGCAGCAAACTGCCCATAGTTGGTTGATGGAGCCGGCCAAGGAGAGAGGAACAACCCCATCCCAGATATGGTATTCCTTGACACGTCGTATTATCCTCTCCACCAACACTCTCAGGCAGGCAATAGCTTGAGTTTTTCCAGTGTCTGATGTGCTGAGCTGAGGGGCGGTTTTTAGTGGGGGATGATCAGTGATGCCCCTACCTCTGCCAGCATATCCTCAATTAAAAACCCTTTGTCATTTATTATAAGACATTTGTTTTCTATTGAACCCCGTGAAGTCATGGAGTCTGTGGACAGTGTCAGCTTCACACCAAAAAATTTAAGTATTAGAAAAAATAGTGTTTAAGACTGGCATCTATTATGATGAGCTGCAGCTACCTTGTTCAATATTATTCCTGCAGATGTGGCTAATAACAAAAAAAACACCCTGAACTGTCACATGTAGTTAACTGTACATTTTGTCTTGTCTGAGGCATTAATTGAACACCTTTGTATTTCTCCTATAGACACAGTGTGGATTATTGGTGACTGGTCCGTCGAGGTGCCCAGAGAGCTGCAGAGACAGAGGAAGAAACCTGAGCTTCAACAACATCTGCATTTGTTGGTTCTTCTGGGGTGGATTTCGGTTGCTTCTCTTCAACAGCTCGCTGTGAGGGAGGTCTCCCCCGGATGGCCTGAGTGATGACACCCACAGACTGAGAGCTGAGACGTGTTTTAAGCCTCTTGACAAACCGTTACACCGCGCCCGCCTGTCAAGCTGGTCAGCTACACGCCTTATTGTGAATAACTCTTATCCTTCATCAAATCAAAACTGATGAGTCATCAAAACATTCACCCCCCGTACAGTGTGTGTCGATCGAGACATGAGCTAATCACACCTATTTGTTTGTTTTGTACCAAGCTGTAAACATGTTAATCTCTGCTATAAAAACAGACTTTTTTTAATGTTGTTTTTCAGATTAAATAAATATTTCTATATAAATGCACTCCTTTATGTCTACTTATGAGTATACATTTCAGATTTGAAATGACAAGACTAAAATGTGCATTAATGCTCAACTCAATAGCTTAGGGAAGGAAGTCTACTTTTACACAACTTTTTATTCTTTTGATAAATACTAATGCAGTTCATTTCTTAAAATGGGATGGAACAGAGTCATTGCAAAATGATGACCTTAAACACAGCCCCATTCTTAAATCAATATACATGGAGAGTAAATAAGATCAATAACTTGTGAATAAAAGCACAGTTAAAAATGATTTAGAAATGTAGTCTTCCCAGATCAATATCACATAATATCAACTTCTCCCATCTAAACTGGACAAAGGGTTTTAAAATGGGAAGAAAATGGTTTGATTGCAAGTTGTTTGGAGGAGATCTATTTTTATTTGAACAGCTGAAGCATGAATACAGTCTTCCAAGGTGCAAACCCTCCTCCTCCTCCTGAAGCTTGTGGAGCTCCTTGATGTACTGCTGTCTTATCTGCTGGCGATCTTCTCTCACCAGAACTTGACTGTTGAAATGTCATTCTGAAGAAGCTCGAACATGTGACACGGATCCAGGAGAACATGGACTTTTAGTGAGGGGTCTTCAGGATGGCAAAGAAAGAGAGAAAATATCAGTTATTCATTAAATCATTTTTTTTGTTCTCATCTATTTTTCTGTATTCATCTGTGTGTAAGATTACATTTATAAATTCAACAGTGTACTACCCAGACAACAAAGGTCCAGTATTCAGGTAATCAACATCTATTCAAAGTTAAGAAGATAAACCTTATTGTAATCATTCTATTTTCAGCTCTCTCACTCACTCACACAATGATATTCCACATCAAATGATCTCAGATTTTGGGTGAGGAAAAATTAAGCAGCTTATTGTGGATAGTACTTCATCTTAACATGAAACAAATATAACCTGAATTATTTAAATCATTAACAGGTCCCAACTCTCTGTGCTTTAGTACAGAACATACAGTAACTCATTTATTATTAACATGAGCTCAGTACATGGCTGTATTCTTCAAACTATTTCTTATACTTTATATCTATGTGCTTTATATCTTATTTTCATTCCATATGTTATTTATATTTTATATTTCTACTGCTATATTCTGTAAATGAGTTCAGTGAAAATTAATATGGTTATTAATATAGTTACACAGTACACATTGCTGCGAGAGCTAAAAGCACTGCTAGGGAGAGTCAGGATGGGATAGGATGTGGGTAATGGAGAGAGAGAAATAGGAGAGGAGGACAACAGCAAACACAGATGCAGAAGCAGGTCAGGTCAGAAAAGCACATTTCCTTAGAAATAGGCCTCATTTCTATTCTTCTGTGCTTTGTAGACAGGACATCAAGCACAGAGGCACTGATCCAGAGTGGCTGAGAATGCCTCAAAGACTTGGCTGTACCACACACAGCATGGTAAGTTACATTTTTACCTGCATAATTTGTTCTATCATGAATAATCTTTTTTTCCCCCCATTTTCTTTCTTATTTCCTTAGCTACTTGTTATTATATGTGATCTTATTGTGTTGTGCATAATTCAATCACAAAAAAAGAATAAATTAACAGGTATATCTGTGGATATTTAGCTAATTTGATCAATGATTGCTTTACTTTTTAGGGATGTTTTGTTGACTGTGCTGCAAATAAGAAAGGCAGGGCAAAGAGAGCTTTTCTTGAGGTCGGAGTGACTGTATACAGAAAAGATTACTTGGAACGGCACGTCACTGAAGCACCACCAGGAGAGCATCAGATGTCAGGCCTCTTGTTTCATCTGGTGGGTTCTGATTTCAACAGCCGTTTTGTAATAACTTCAGTATATTCAAATCCATTTTTAATAACTTTGTCATTTACAGGCATCTCAATGATGGATTCCTCTGAGCCAACTGTTGTTTTAGAGCACGAGGCAATCATTGGTGGGTTCAAGGGCCTTTACTGGCTCATAAAAAAGTAACTGGCCCCCCACACAAACTACCCAAAGCTGTTGAGCCTGGCTGAGCTTCTAGGATGTAACTATTTCAAGAGATTAAAGGTAAAGGTCCCCTAGCCATAATTTCAAATTTAATTCAATCTTAACATTAATGAATACATTTTTTAATATTTTATATTTTACTTTTCCCAACGTCAGATTGACCAGAGGAATAATTATAGATCTCATCGTATCATTGACGGAATGCTTGAGATCTTAGCAGGAGTCATCGAGGAGCCGACTTCCAGGCTAGCACTGATGTCTCTATGTCCAGACTGCTTCATTTGCATGTCTGCTATAGGACCATTTATTTTGTCTGATTTTAGAATTGCATACATCCTTGGTCCGAATGAACTTTTAATACTAAATACTTGCCTTTGCTTTCTCTCAGATACCTGGATAAAGAGGGACATGTGTTGAGTCAATTCCTGGACTTGGTCTCTATTGACGATGGCAAAGCAGACTCTGTGTTGTGACAGCCATCAAGGATGTAATCTTGAGGAAGGGCCTCCCAACAGAGAAACTCTATGGACTTGGGACTGAGGGGGCAGCCGTGATGACAGGTAAATATTTAATGCCTATGTGAGCTTGTTTTGTCTGTTGTATCCCATGCTTGTCACTCATTGATTTTATATACATTTTGGCGGCGTGTGAATGGGGTCCCTATTCAATGGGGGTGAATAGGGACCACCTTTAAGAACTTCATTTATTTTTCAGAAACAGTGCAAATCGTACTGCAACACTCGGGGCAGCATCGGCTACCCTGGGTGTCAGTGATCTGAAAATAAAGGTAATAGTTATTTGATACCATTGTAGTTATCTTCTGTCTATTCATAACTAATCATTCTGTCCTTTATTGCAACATTTTCAGGAAGTGAAGGATACAAGCTGGCTCTTTCAGCACAGGGTCATCGAGACCCTACTGAGGAACTTGAGTGCATTCCTTGGAGCCTTGGCAGAGGAGGCAGAGATGAGAAGATGTCCAGTGGCAAAGGGACCCTACACATTCTGTGCTACATACAGATAAAGCGGCAGCAGTTTACCTCCAGGCTGATGTTTTGCCCCACCTCGCATGTCTGTCCAAAATCTTTCAAAAAGCAAATGTCAACTTTTTACAAATCAAGGAGCAGGTAAGCTTAATGTGTTTATTATCTATATTATCATCTATTTATTCAAATCTGTTTGATTTCACACATTGAAATGAGGGTTGTTTGCAGGTCTGACCAATACTTAACAGCATCTTTTCTTTTTTATATATAGGTTCCTGTCACAATTCAGTCTCTGGCTGGACAGACTCCACTCCCTGGATCATGCCTGCCTCGCCTCCATCAGGACCTCGATGATCCCCAAGGACTCGGAGCCAGCACGAGGAGGAGAGGAATAGGAGAGGGCGAGATGTCATGAAGCGCTGAGGGAGGAGCAGTGAGCCAGAACCCAGCGAGAGGTAAATGTCCAATTTTGAAACTATGAATGAGAGAAAATGGAATTTATACTCCTGAATAGACTATGGCCTGGCCCTTAATGACGGAGGTAACAGTGGGTGTAGGCTCTTTCTAAAAATATGTTGATTTATTCATTGTAGGTCATCCACCCTTACATAACTGGCCTGGAAACACACCTGGAGAGGAGGTTTCATGATCTGGACATTCTTGGGGCCTTCAGTATCTTGGGACCCGCACCGCAATCAACCACTCTACAAGATGATACAATCAACATCTCTCATCTGCGGACTCTTGCCAGGAAATGTTGCCCTGAACATGAGAATGAGGTCCTGCAGGAGTGGTCCTCGTTCAAAAATCATGTCCTTCCTGGGGCATTCACGGTGGGTCAATTAAGCTGATTCTGACTACAATCAACTACAGTTCACAATACACACACATAGACTAATGCCTTGGTAAACCAAATGTTGTTTCAAGAACAATAACCAGGAGATCATGAGTCTGCTGGCAAGCGAGTTTGATGAGTGGACCAACCTCTACCCCTGTCTGAGCCTCCTTGCAGGCATTGCACTTGTTTTACCCGTTTCCTGTGTCAATTACAACGTGATTTCTCAACGGTGAACAGGGTAAGAGCATGACCTTGAACAGGACAACAAATAATCATGCATTTTCTTCATATTAGTGCAGTTTGTGGTATTTTCTTTGCTTTATCCTCAGGTGAAAACAGACCTGAAACCAGCTTCAAGGTGAACACCTGGCTGCCTGCCTGAGGATCTCCATAAACGGACCCCATCCTGAGGCCTTCTCATGTAATAGGGCATTGGAATATTTTTTCAGAAAGCCCCATAAAATAAAATGTTCAAACACATCTTGCAAACTTTGCAACAAGTAGGCTGTGGAGCAGTCAAATGAGCGCTCTGTATATAATTTGAAAGTAAGGCACAACTGGCTTTCTGTCAGGCTGTCACAGTCTGTAGTAAGATGCCAAAGGGGAAACATGTTATGCTATTATTTGGATTTATTATTTATATTTATTTATGTTATATTTGAATAAACAAATCTAATACCCCGATCTTATGTACATTCTATTATTATTATTATTATTGTTATGTATGCACTCGGAAACACTGGGCAGGTACTATACTGTACTATATACTATAAAATGAATGTACAACTTCAGGACATAATTCAGTAAACTTACCCATGTCCCTCCGGCTTGTGTCACTCACATGCTCCATCATTTCTACATTTGATTTTATACAGAAAATGATTAAACTGTTTCCCCTGTATTAGAGAAGCCTGCATGTTTTATGACGCTTCCTCTGTTTCCGTGCAGCAGATTCTTCAGAGGACCCATTCAGCTCCCGTCAGGATGAATCCTCAGAGGGCGTGAGTCACAACTTTGTGGTGGAGGGTCTCCTCCAGGGGACCAGAGATTTAAGCATCACACCCAGAGACAACCGTGTTTAGCAGGAAGGCCCGTTCTTTCATCACAGAGGAGATCCTGGAAGCCCTTCGCAAGGCTGACCGCAAGGGCCGGGACGTGGTGGTGGGCCTGTCCAACGCCTGCTGCAAGTGGGGCTGCAGCAAGAGCGAGATCAGCTCCCTTTGCTGAGAGACCCCCACACCCTTCATGTGAGAGGGAAGACACAGGCAGACGAATATGTGTACAACACACATTTATACATCCGCACTTCTGTTTCACTCTTTATAAATCAATCAAATGTCTTCAGTGAAACCGTTAAACAAAAGTTTAAATTGTTGTTTTATTTTGAGTCTGAATGAATGGAAAGGGCTGCTTGTGTCCATAAAGTTTCTGTGTAATTTCTGCAAAATAAAACTCATTTTTGGCTTTTTACATATCATTCAGTTGTTTTTACCTTCTTATATTTTGCTCGACTGTCTGAAATGTGAGCACTAAGCAACATTTAGCGAAGTTACAGTGGCAAGAAAAAAACTGCGTTTAGGAGTCAGAAACCGCAAGCAGAACCGGACTCATGTTGAACGGACGTCTGCTGAAACTACGCTGGGCTCAAAGGCTTTAAATATTTAGGCTGGGCTTGTAAACTGGGATAGAGGGAGATGTAGAAAGAAAGAGATGGATAGAAACAAACAGAGCATCAACAACAACAATGAATACAACAGACGTGACTCTCAAGATTATGTATGTTATTAATCTTGTGTTTGTATAATTCCTTATACACACCAGTAGTTTGCGTGATAGAAATTCATACCACCACTATTTTACTGACAGTGCTTTGTGTTGTTGTTGTTGTTGTTAAGGCTATTCTAAGTTTCATGGTAAGTAAAAGTACTTCATAGTACCTGTGCATGTAGTCTAAGAAGTACTAAGTCCAACCATATCAGAATCATTGTGTACTTATGGAGGAAAATGTTTTTACAAGACATCAAAGTCAGAAAAAAAGGCTCATTATAGTGATTTATAAGGGACTTTGACAGTGGATTTCTCAGAAAGCACACAGTAAAAGTACTTCATAGTACCTGTGCAATATCAGAATCACTGTTTACTTAGGTAAGAAAATATATATAATTATTGTTTTCTCCAAAAAAACTGTTTTGTTTTGTTTTTTAATTGTGAACACCTTATTTTGAAAAACGGAAGTTACCGCAGACTCGCAGTATTATTCTCACACTAACTTCCCCGACCTCCGAAGCTATTCCCTGAACAGTATTGTGTTTACTCCCGTTTCATACACGTGTATCTCATAGTCAGTTTTATGGTAAGACCTAGACATTTAGCACTTGACTTCATCGCTCTCTCTGTCTGTTCCTCCTGCTCGCTCTGGAGTCCGGAGCATTTACCATAAAGATCAGAATACGTGGGCACTTGAAATTTAGGGGCGGCTCACTTCACCATGTAAACTCGAGGAGCGGCTGTCTTCTTGTTTGACATTTTATAAATATGACCACTGATGACTGACTTGTGCTCTTAACTTCTGTAGTTTCTAATACCATACGAACCTGGAAGTGTTTTACAACTTGACAAAGTCAGCTGGTTTAGGTATCATAATATTTTGTTGTAAATCCCCTCGCATAGTTTCGCGCACCTCGCCGTACTTCCGGTGCCAAACTGCGCAGGCGCGTACGATCGCTAACATACGTCATCATTGTGTCAACAGGGTTGAGTAGACGCTTTGATGTGTGACGTAACAATCCATAACTCGCTTATAATTAGATTTAGGATTTTCAGATCAAGATTGTGAACAGACAGTCAAATTTATCAGAATAACTATATCCCTTTAACTGAACCCAGAGAAGTTCATCAAAGCGAACAGTCATGAAATCAAACAAAAAGAAAGGAAGGAAGGGGAAAACTTCAAAAAGCTCTCAACAGAAAAAGTCTAATCTCAAACAAAGCACAATGGATCCATCTAACATGGAAAAGGAAGCAGCATCTTTAGCTCCTAGAGACAAAAATGATATGGTGAAAGAAGACGAGGAAGCATTAATTACCCCAGAAGAATATACCGAATGGCTAATCCAGGATGCAATGAAGACGGCCTTCGAAGGCCTCCAAGAGATAAAAGAGAAAGAAGCCATGTGGGAAGCCGAAGGCATAGACTATGAAGAATACTGCCGGAGGTTGGATGAGTATTATGATGAGTATTATTCAGCCCGTGAGATGGAAGCTGAAAATCTAACAAAGTGTAAGGCTAGGTTTCTTATTTGGAGGAAAAATAAATCAGAGAAAGAGAAAGTTCCTGCAACTTCGTCCTCCACCGATTCAATTGTGAAGCCTGAGGTCATGGTGGAAGAACATGTTAGAAATAACACACCACCTTCTGCAGAGGTTAGAGAGATGAGATCTAGCTCTCCCCTTCCTAAAGATTCATCTCCATCCACCTCAATGTGCTCCAGTGAGGTTGTAACGATCGACACAAAGCAGGGGATAATTAATTTGGACACAACTCCGTCCCTTTGCAATCATTTGGAAATGGATGAACTTTTTGAGTTTGCTAATACAGAGGAAAACTTTGCTGAGCAAGAAGACCCGAGCTCTGCCCTTGTGGAAGCAGCATCTTTAGCACCTAGAGACAATTCCTCTACCCAGACTGATGCTCCTGTCCAAGACAAGACCAAGGATATGTGTAGAGAATCTGAAGAGAAGAATGACAAAAATTATATGGTGGAAGAAGAAGAGGAAGCAGAAATTGACGCAGATGAATATGCCGTATGGCTCCTCCAGGACGCAATGAAGACGGCCTTAGAAGGCCTCCAAGAGATAGACGAGAAAGAAGCCATGTGGGAAGCCAAAGGCATAGACTATGAAGAATACTGCCGGAGGTTGGATGAGTATTCTGATGAGTATTTTTCAGCCCGCGACATGGAAGCTGAAAATCAAACAGAGTGTAAGGCTAGGTTTCTTATTTGGAAGCAAAATGAATCAGAGAAAGAGAAAGTTCCTTCAACTTCGTCCTCCACCGATTCATTTGTGAAGCCTGAGGTCATGGTGGAAGAACATGTTAGAAATAACACACCACCTTCTGCAGAGGTTAGAGAGATGAGATTTAGCTCTCCCCTTCCTAAAGATTCATCTCCATCCACCTCAATGTGCTCCAGTGAGGTTGTAACGATCGACACAAAGCAGGGGATAATTAATATGGACACAACTCCGTCCCTTTGCAATCATTTGGAAATGGATGAACTTTTTGAGTTTGCTAATACAGAGGAAAACTTTGCTGAGCAAGAAGACCCGAGCTCTGTCCTTGTGGAAGCAGCATCTTTAGCACCTAGAGACAATTCCTCTACCCAGACTGATGCTCCTGTCCAAGACAAGACCAAGGATATGTGTAGAGAATCTGAAGAGAAGAATGACAAAAATTATATGGTGGAAGAAGAAGAGGAAGCAGAAATTGACGCAGATGAATATGCCGTATGGCTCCTCCAGGACGCAATGAAGACGGCCTTAGAAGGCCTCCAAGAGATAGACGAGAAAGAAGCCATGTGGGAAGCCAAAGGCATAGACTATGAAGAATACTGCCGGAGGTTGGATGAGTATTCTGATGAGTATTTTTCAGCCCGCGACATGGAAGCTGAAAATCAAACAGAGTGTAAGGCTAGGTTTCTTATTTGGAAGCAAAATGAATCAGAGAAAGAGAAAGTTCCTTCAACTTCGTCCTCCACCGATTCATTTGTGAAGCCTGAGGTCATGGTGGAAGAACATGTTAGAAATAACACACCACCTTCTGCAGAGGTTAGAGAGATGAGATTTAGCTCTCCCCTTCCTAAAGATTCATCTCCATCCACCTCAATGTGCTCCAGTGAGGTTGTAACGATCGACACAAAGCAGGGGATAATTAATATGGACACAATTCCGTCCCTTTGCAATCATTTGGAAATGGATGATGAAGAGGAACACTTTGCTGAGAAAGTAATGCTACTGAAAAATAG